TGAATTTCACATATGTAAATTTGAATTTCACATATGTGAATTGCGAATTCACATAATTTCATTTTCACGTACAACATGGACATAGATAAGTAATAAATAATAAATAATAATTAAAGACACGAAATAATTGATACTAATGTAAATATTTATGTACCACCCAGATGTTACACATGACTTCGGAGTAAATTGTTACATTACCTTAGAGACAGTCTCACCCCTAAAATATTAATACAAGCAAATTATCAGACCCACAATTGACAACTGTTTCAGAGTAAAAAGGAATACACACCATTTGAGCTGGATGTGATCTTGTATATCAGAAAAAATTGAGTATAAATTCCATTTCTGATAAATCATCAAGATTATTAGTCGTGTTTGTTAAACTCAAGCTAGTTGAGGTGACTGATTTTATTAATATGTATATTTACTTTTTTGATTTCCTTTAAATTTAAAATAATAAATGAATTAGTACATTGTAATTATTACTACTAGTTTTTTATCCCTTAAACGGTCAAAGTATTCTTTAGTAGTAACCCAAAATAATTTTTTGATCACGATCTTGCATTCTTATTGGCCAATTTAACGATCTGCAAAGTAAAAATAGTCAATCGACCAACTTTTAAGGAAGATTTTACGAAAACCACAAGGACAACAACCGAATTTTTATTCACAGATCAATCAGCTGAATCTCAAAGATCATTTTCGTATTAGGAAATAATACCTTCAGAAAAAGTTTTTTATAACAGAAAAAAAATTTCGGCTATCAATAGCCGTTTAAGGGATAAATAATTAAGACTTCAAATATATTTGAGTAATTTTTAGCATTTTTTTCTCTGCATCATTACCAAATTTCATCATATGGTTTAACATATTGGCTTCTCTACATCATTTAATTGAGATTCCATATGATCTATATATTTGGAGAGACTCCAATCCTTATTTTCTTTGAAAAATTTTAAGAATTTGTCATTATTAATCTTGGTCCCGCTTTCTTCAGTTGATATAGATGCAGCTGCAACCACATTATAAGAGGCAAATAAAAAAAGATTGAGGTTTCAATTGAACAGACCAATAATCCCCACTGCTATTTTTTTTTAATAGCGACTAAAATAATCACCTTTTTAAAATGATAAATAATAACAATATTTATCTTTTAATTGTTTCTGAAGCATGTATATAAATATGAAAATAGGAATTCGATTTTTAAAGTAAAATGTTTGTTCTATATGGACCAATTATAAATGGACTTTTAGTGCCATGTAGTAAGCTAGTCGGTCTTATGGCTCCAACACCTTTTTTGTCTTTGTCTTTTTGTGGTATATGCAGTTTGAATGGTATTAAATCTGTCGGATCCTTAGATGATGGATTGAACTTATTGGAAATATGATCTAACCGAAGTTGCTCGATTTTTTCAGCAGTTTCTTGTGGTTTAATCTGAGATAAAGAATTGATACGTACTAAATTGTATTATGCAATGCATCAGTATAATATTTTTATTTCAATCAGCACAAGCATTTGTGAAATAATTTATAGACTTACTTTGAATGTCCAAAACAAACCTAAATAATCACATAATTTATCACGATCATTAAATAATACTGGAACGGTGACTTTCGTTATATATACGTTCAAATAAGAAAATTCCAACTGAAATCATCATCATTGACCATAGCTCCATACGATCCTCTTTATAGATAAATATATTATGTTAATTAATGTAAGATGTCAGAATAATAATAATAACTAGCTAACACTTACCAATTGTATGTAAAAAAAAATACTTTAATCACATTCAGGTTTTTTTCTTCCAAACTTGTTTACGCATATTAAAAATTAAAAAAATAAAATAAAATAAAATAAAATAAATTTTTTTATTGATGATTAATGTTAAAATCTTTATTGATGATTGAATAGTGACATACAGTATAACCCTTCTTCGTTACGGATTTTAAAAATTGATAACTTAAATTAGTAATTTCATTTTGACAAATTTTTGTTATTACCATATATATACGTATTAATATTACTATTATATACATATTAATATTATTATATTGAGCGCCGATTATTACTATCCCTAAAATTATCGCCTGTTACACGATGAACAATTTTTAAAATTATTTACATTTCTACTCGACAATCAATAATAATGGTTTGACGGTGAAGATAATATTTTAGATAAATATTAGATGAGTTAATTATTAAAAAAAAAAGTATTTAGACCACTGTGTGGTGAAAAATAATAAATAGTCGCTACAATAAATCAAAGATAATGAATTATTATTTTGCATTATTGGGAAGAAAGCTATCAGCATAAACGTACGAATTTATTCCCGTTAGAATGATTTTCTCAAATAAAGGGTCCCCCTGATGATTTTAAAAATATATCGAGAAAAATTTTTTACTTAGTCGCGAAAATATATGATTTAATTCACATAATACAGTGCCAAGACCTTTCCAAAGGTATGGTTTTATTTTGTTGATATGTCACATTCTCATGGAGATATCGGGTCTTCTTTGTTTACTATGTAAATATTAACATAGAAAACAAAGAAAACCCGATATCTCGGAAGTATTGATCAATGGTCAACCAGTGAAAGAAAATTCTCTGCTAAAAATTATGCAGACTTGGTATTCAATAGTGACTACGAATTTGAAGAACAATTGAAAGAATTTCATATCGAGATGAGAGAATGACTGTAAAGTGTTCAAGGTAGTGTGCGTGCTTCAACGCCTGCCAATTTCCGATAATCAAACATCACATACTAGAAATGTTTCTTTTTCAATGGTGTGTTGCCTTGACATCTTGTAGTTAAATTATAGTAATATTACTATTATTAACGATTACAAAAGGCCAAATACCAATCGTTCGTTGTTGATAAGGATTTTATAATTACCCAGCAAGATCTGCTCCACGTTTTGATTCCAATTAAAATATTTATAAACTAAAATAAAAAATATCAATACAAGTAAAAAATAGTACCTCTGGTTAGTTATTAACAGCACTCATGTGTTCTGTCATCTAAATTGTTTTTCCAAGAAAAAAAAATCAATCATGTCTACAAAAAAATCATCTGTGCAACCACAAATGCCAATTAATGGCACGATCAAATAAATTTATTCAAATAGAAACCTAACTGCTACTCAAAATTATGATATTACTTTAGTACAAAGAGCTTTAGAAATATTTAACCCAATAACTTAATTACAATATAAAAGAGTTATTGGTTTATTAAACTAAGCCAATAATTAACTAAAAAATAGGATTATTTGATAAATATTGGCACTTTCAATATTTACTAGTAAGCTTTAGACTATATGATAAAAATATTATTAACTTATTGGTATGCCAATACCAAAATTATTTTTTAAAGAATATTGGTCAGATATCAGATTCTAATATTTACTAATACCCAGTTTACCCAATTTGGCATCATTTGACCAGTAAAAAGAAAACCAATAGATTATATATATATAAGCAAAGAAAGATTAACCCTAAATTAGCACAAAAGAATTTTAAATCATGCACAAACATAACAGCCTGATAGTTTGATTGGCATAGTGGTGCAGTGTTGCAATTTTTTTATTGTATATTTTAAATACAATTAATCATATGTCTTTAATAAAACAAACAAGACTTAGCTATTTAATCATTTCCTTGTATGTGAATGCCTCCATCCAACAAATATTTGCAATGGTCATGATTATTATTCAATATATTTGATATCATCATTGATATAACAAACAATTGCATCACCCAAGCAGTAATGATATCAAGGCCATGCATAAATGAAGCTTTTAATAATGCCTATTTACCCAGATCTCTGGGGTTCACAATAATAAATTACTTTTCCTGATTATCAATTATGGTTGTTCATGAATAATAAATCTGATGTTGATCACAGGTGTCAGATTTAATTAAAACTTTCCTGTTACCAACATGCAAATACCCTTTATAACCATAGGATTTTTTCCAATGGGTAAAGTCCATCACATGTTGGGAGGCTTTAGACAAAACTTTCCCTTATCTCCCTCTCAGACCAGACTTGGCTGTTTACCATATGAGCATTGATAACTGATAGCTGGTGCTTGTGTGGTGTTTGCTTTGTGTTAACACCCCCTAGAATAAAGTTGGTGTCTGCAACCTGGGTTGCCATTTTGGATTCAGAGTTTTGAGTCCTGGGTTGCTATCTTGTTGGTAGCATGCCAACTCACCAACAACCCTACCCCAATTAGATAACAAGTTTGGTTAGTCAAATAAAAATTAAAGAGAAACAGAAAATTTATGAAAATGATTAATTTATATGGAACATACCAAACAAAAT